AGATCATTCTGGCCAAGATGTGGAGGCTAAAGTGGAGGAGGCTGGGGCAAGATTAGAGGCAGAAGACCAGTGAGAAACAGAATTCCTCCAGGATACCTTTGTATGTCACTATTACTTCCCCCATCAGGGACTATTTATTCTAAGGGAGGAGGAAAAAGAAAAGAGCATTAACTTGGTCCTAAGAAAGTCAGCACAACACCCTGTGAAATAACCCCCTGTAGCTTGACCAGTGGTGTCAGCTGCACAGGACTGCACCCTTCAGGCCTATGTTTTAAAGAAACTTCTAAACCCAAGGCTTGGTGACCCATGAGCACCACCAAGTGTGACTTAGTACCTATAAAATGCAGATCACAAAAGAAACTCACACTTGGAAATACCACACAATTTCACACTTCATTTTCCCAGTTCTCAAAGTCATTTATTAATTTCCCATCAAAACATAAAGCCACATCAAGGTTTAGTTACCTCCGGAAGCATGGCACCTCTCACAAAGCCTGATAAAAGCTTTAATAATTAAAGACTGACTTTGAAAGAAGGGCACCTAAAATTCTTTGGCTCAATGACTTTGTGCAGTTTAGTAATACAAACGGAAAACATGAGTATCCCTGAATAGAAGGAAGCTATGGATGTCTGATCCTAATTAGTTTAGATAACAGGGCAAATCAAATCCCCAGATATTTAAAAGGATGGAAATGGAGCTGTCAGGTTTGATGACAGGCTAGGCTGTGGACACAATAAACTTCACACCTTATCAGTAATTTCTCTTACATATGAATGTAGGAAGTAGACAACATTACGCTGACAAAAGAACAGCTGAGTGCAAAGCACCTCTTTAATATTATGCTTTGACTTGAGTTTGTCTCTTCCCACACTTAAAATGTCTGTCAACTGTCCACCTACGGATGGATCCCATGCTCAAACTACACCCTGGCAATGGTCACCTTCCTCTCTCATTCCATGTGCCACTGGAGTGCAGTATCCTAACCACATCTGAAACACTGTTGTGTAAGGTATTCTTAAGTCATTTTAATTGCAAACAGCCAGCACAGAGATTCCTTTTATTCTTGCTGTGCAGTGAGTAATCCATCAAAAACAGCTTTAGCATCACCTGGAAGCTTATTAGAAACTAGAGGCCTGGTGCTGTGCACCAGTGGGGTCCCTCGGCCTGGCCTGCGGGGATGGGCCAGAACCGGCTCTCTGACATCCCTGAGGAGTACTGGGTAGCGAGAGGGCAGTTCTAGGATGACACACCCAGGAACTGGGCTCCCTCCTCTCTGGGTGCATCACCCAAGAACCGCAGCTGCCAAGTCACTGCAGCTCAGCAACCCTGCGTTGAGTGTCTGCCCCCTGGTGGTCATTGTGTGTCATAGCAACCGGCTGGATAGTTTAACAGTGAGATGGTCACTTAGGCTTTTATATATATAGACTAGAGGCCCGGTGCACAAAATGTTGTGCACTCGGGGGGGTCCCTCAGCCCAGCCTGTGCCCTCTCACAGTCTGGGACCCCTCGGAGAATGACCATCTGCTGGCTTAGGCCCGGTCCCCAGGGGATTGGGCCTAAGCTGGCAGTCAGACACCCCTCTGGCAGCCCAGAAGCCCTCAGGGGATGTCCACTTGCAAGCTGGGAGCAGGCCTAGCTGCAGTCGGACATCCTTAGCGCTGCTGAGGAAGCGGGAGAGGCTCCCACCACCACCACTGTACTGGCAGCCGTCAGCCAGGCTTGTGGCTGAGCAGAGCTCCCCCCGTGAAAGCACACTGACCACCAAGGGGCAGCTCCCGCAGTGAGCGTCTGCCCCCTGGTGGTCAGTGTGTGTCATAGTAACCAGTGATTCCCAGTTGCTCTGCTGTTAGGGTCAATTTGCATATTACCCTTTTATTATATAGGATAGAGGCCTGGTGCATGGGTGGGGGCTAGCTGGTTTGCCCTGTAGGGTGTCCCGGATCAGGGTGGGGGTCTGCTGGGGTGCCTGGCTAGCCTAGGTGAGTGGCTGAGGCCCATTTTCAGACTGGCCACACCCCCTTCAGGGTGGGGGTTCCCGCTGGGGTGCCTGGACAGCCTGGGTGAGGGGCTGATGGCTGTTTGCTGGCTGGTCAAGGCCCCCTGTGGGGACCCACACCCTGAAGGGGCTGTGGCCAGCCTGGATAAGGGGCTGATGGCTGTTTGCAGGTGGGCCACAACCCCTTCAGGGTGGGGTTCCCCCCCTGGGGTGCCTGGCCAGCCCAGGTGAGGGGCTGATGGCTGTTTGCAGGCTGGCCAAGCCCCCCAGCAGGGACCCTCACCCCATGAGGGTGTGACCATCCTGGGTGAGGGGCTGATGGCTGTTTGCAGGTGGCCACAGCCCCAACCACCCAAGCTCCCAGTGGAGGCTGGCTGGAAGCAGGTATCTGGGGTTCATTTAGCTTCTATAATTGAAACTTTGTTGCCTTTGTGGCGGCCACAGCCGGCCAAAGCAGGCGGGAAGCTTTGCTTCCTCCATCGCTGGGGCAACCAAGCCTCCTGCTTGCTCCAGCTCTGTGGCTGCTGGCGCCATCTTGGTTGGGTTAATTTGCATATAGTCACTCTGACGGGCTGGTGGGCATGGCTTGAGCATAGCAAAGGTATGGTCAATTAGCATCTTTGTCTTTTATTAGTGTAGATAGTCCCAGGCCCTACCCAAGACTTCAATGTGCATCTTACCAAGAGCTCCAGGTGATCTTATGATATTTGAGAAGCACTGCCAGACAGTTTTGGAAAACACAATTGAGGAGAGTTTGACTAAAACCTAAGATCTGATCTCAATATTTTTTGCTAGTTGGAAGAAATGGCTTCCAAGTCCTGCATGTAAACATGACTGTTATTTACATTGAGCTGGACTTTCCAGGAAGATGGTATGTGCTGTGGAAACACAGACAAACCTTGAAGCCAGTGAGCTCTAAGTTCAAATCTAAGCACTGCTACTCATATGCAGTGAGACCCTGGGCAAGTTACTTAACCACACGGTTGAGTCTTTTGTCCCTTTTCCCTTAAGTTGAAGGGGCCATTAGTTTTTTGTTTGTTCTTGTTTTGTGTGCTTTTTAGATCATTGCACCTCATATGCATTCGAAGAAATAATGCAGAGAGATCCCATAAACCTTTCTCCCAGTTTCCCTCTATGGTAACATCTTGTACTAGTACAACAACACAAGGAGGAAATCTGTTCTCCATCCCTTATAAGTTTGCCATTTCAAGAAGGTTATATAAGCAGACTCATACAATGGGTATTCTCATGAGACTGGCTTTTTCACTCAGCATAAGTGCCTTGAGATCCATCCAAGTTGTTGCATGTATCAATAGCTCATTCCTTTTTTACTGTTGAGTCCTATTTCACGGCAGAGATGTATCACCATTCAACTGTTCACCTTCTCAAGGACATTTAGATTGTTTCTAGTTTTGGGCTTTTACAAATAATGCTGCTATAAACAGGCATATCCAGGATTCTATGTGAACATAAATTTCTATTTATCTGGGATAAAGGTTCAAAAATACAATTGCTGGGTTATACGGCCATTTTGTGAGAAACTGCCACACTCTTTTCCAGAGTGGCCTATGCCTTCATTTTCCCACTAGCAACATATATGAGTGATCCAGTTCTCCAGAAACTTGACAGCATTTGGTGTTAATACTTACTCAATCAAAACAGTTAGGAATGTGAGAAAAAGTAAACAATGCACAGGCTGTCACTATTTATAATTTTGGCTTATATGATAGGTATGTAGTGGTATCTCACTGTGCTTTTAATTTGCATTTCCCTAGTGGGATGTGATGTTGAGCATCTTTTCGTGTGCTTATTTGCCATCTGTGTGTCTTTTTCAATGTAATGTCTATTCATGTCTTTTGTCCATTTTGTAATTTTTTTTTTACTGTTGAATTTTGAGAGTTTGTTATATATTCTAGAAACAAGGCCTTTGTCCGATATGTAGTTTGCAATGATTTCTTTCAGTCTGTAGCTTGTCTTTTTATCCTCTTCACAGGGTCTTTTGTGGAGCAAAAGTTTTTAGTTATTCATATTTGTAATACCTTAACTAATAATAAAAAAAAGGAAAAAAAGTTTTTAGTTATTATGAGGTGCAATTTATTGATTTTTTTTTCTGTTATGGATTGTGCTTTTAGAATTTTTCATCCAGCCCTAGATCCTGAGGATTTCTTTATATTTTTTTTCCTAAAAGTTCTATAATCTTATGTTTTACATTTAACTCTGATACCCTTTGACTTAATTTTTTGTATAAGTTGTGAGTTTTATATTGAAGCTCTTTTTCCGACCTTTGAATGTTCATTTGCTTGTGCCATCATTTTGACCTGCACACTCAACTTAGAACTTTGCAAGAAAAAAAAAAATCAAGAGTTGCCAGAGGCCAGTCCATCCTTGCTGCTTGACACAGTCGCTGCAGGGAAGAAACATCTGCACAGCATATGTTTCAAGGGACCTGGCATACTGTTCTTAATATGTTTACTCCCCTTCTTAGCGCTATGTATTCTAACCAGGGTCACCTCCCTGAGAAAGGTTGTTTCCCCAGGTGGGGCTGTTTCCCTGGAGTTAGGAATTAACAGGACTAAGGAAGGGAATAAATCAGTAAAACCTCCTAGTGTTACAGAAATACCATGTACTACTTATGAAGAGCTTAAACTAAGACT